GGTGAGCCAAGCCCTGCTCTGCTGGCACATCCTGCCCTTCTCCTTAACATTTGGCATTTTCAGGCTTCCCAGCCCCGCAGCTTTTCCTTTTCAAAACCATTTCCACAGCTGAGGCTGGTGAGACCCCGTATCCCCATCCAGCTGTCACCACATCACACAAACAGATTTTCCACCTGAAGCCTCCACTCAGGGCCACTCAGCAGAGCTGTAGTTGCAAAGGGGAGGCTGTAGGCAGTCACATAAGGAGCTGTGCTGAAAGTGCCAGAGGACTTCTCCATCCCTAAAGTGGCAGTTGTGGCCTGCAGCAGGTGGCCAGGTCCCCGCTGGGAAGTGGTCCCTTGGAATAAGCATGAAATTGGTACTTGTTCTAATACATTCATGGTGAGATGGCATCAAAACTGTCTGGCTGCTCCCAGTGAGCTCCTTCATTGTGCAGGATGTCTGATCAGTGTGCCCTGTCACTGGTTTGTCACAAGATGTGACTGCAGTCAGGCAGTCAGTCTCATGCTGTGTGGCTCCTCCTGTGCTCTCCCTGGTGTTTGAGGTGCCCATACCCTGCAGGCAGGCTGAGAGCTGAGGCAGAGGCACATGCCCCATGCAGCTTTGGAGCTGAGCTGGGGCTGGTGTCCCCACTGCTCTCCTCTCATGGGCTACTAAAAATGATGGGAAAAAAGTCAAGAGCAAGCAAAGTTTTCGTAAGCTGGGTGAAGGCTAACTGCCACCCCCAGCCTGGTACCAGATGAGACAGCTTTTGTATTCTCTCTATATGTCAGGCTTCCTTGTGGCTGGTGGGATTCACAGGGGTACACTGGGGCATTGGGACCCTCACAGTCCCTGGAGGGAGAGTGATGAGTGCCTGTAGTTAGTGCAGCCCAAGGCTGCAGGGCTGCTGGAGGAGCTCTGTGGCTGTGCACTCAGGGACGAGCTGGTGTTGGGGTGAAACACTGCTGCTCTTCATTGCTGCACAGAAATGTGGGTGAGGAGAGGCGAGAGAGGCAGGAGCTGTGCTCTAAGGAGGTGGAGCAGGGCAGCAGCAGCAGCACCCAACCTCCCTCCCCATACATCTGCAGCTCCCCTTCCTTCAGGCCTTGCTCTCAGCACAGGGAGGAAATGGCTCAGGCAGTGGCTGCTTCCATCTGCAGCAGCTGCTGGGAGCAGGCACAGCTTCCCTGGAGCCCCCCACCTGGCAGGGCTTATTCCCCCAGCCCCAGGCTGGGGGTCTGTGACAGCAGCTGCCCGTGGCCCAAAGTACCCTGCTCCAGCTGGCCCTGCTATGAGTGGGGCTTGCACTGGCAAGCTTGGAGATCCCTGCCAGCTTCAGCTGGTTTGGGGTTCTCCAAAAATTAATTTGTTTGTGTGGCGTGAAGCTTCTCTGGAGAGCAAAGCTCCTTACAGACCTCCTGTTTCCCAATAATGACTCCAGCCCAGGAAATTAAATAAATCTTCTGCAATAAGATATATTGGTCTGCCCTATGATCAGCCACAGCTCTGGGCCAGGCCAGCACCCATGTGCTGAGTGTGACACTGGCAGTAAATCACAGCACTCTCTGCAAATGGGCACAAATAAATGGTTTGTTTGGATGTTTTCTCTCAGCTCTGTTAAATAATTCAACAGGTCCCTTTCAGCCTCCTGCCTTATCTTGACTCTCTCACCCTCCTCCGCTCTGTGTTTGGGCCCAAGATCCCCCATCGTGTCCCAGAGCAGGTGTGTCAGCACCTCTGCAGCCGTGTGCTGTGTGAGAGCTGAGAGCTCTGCTCCTGTGGCCTTGCACGTCCAGAGGGCTGTGGCACCAGAGCAAGCCCCATCAGGGTGTGGAGTCACTGCAGCGTGGCTGCAGAGGGGGACACGTTCAGTATTCAGCTCAGAGTCAGGAGCCCTGGCTGGAGTTCCACATCAGCAGCCCTGCAGAAGCAAGCTCTGGTTTGGGTGACTGGGATTGTCACCTCTAACCTGGTGGAGGCTGTCAGGGAGAACAGGCTGAAGAAGCATTGCAGAAAGGTCACTGACTTTTGTGAGGACAGAGGAGGCACTGAACGCAGAGTTTAATATTTTTTCCAGGAAACCTCATCCTCCTTCAATCTGCTATCTGTTAAAACCCTTGAAAAGCCAATTCACAGTTTCTACCAGAGAAATAATTACTTGTATGAAGACTTAAGCCTCTCATTTCCTATAATGATAATCCTTCATGAAAATGAAATAAGATTTTCTACAACATTTGTGGAGGCTCTTGGCAGAACATCCAGCAACAAACTGCCCATTAATGACAAAACTTCTTTTGGTGCTTGCCCAGAAAACCTTACCTTGCAGATCATTAGACCTGATTTTGGAGGGAAATTAAGTTACCAGCTGCTTATTAAAAGCGATTCTGACTGAAGCTTATGGTACTATTTTCAGTGAGAGTCTTTCAATCTCTATTTAGAAGCATTTGACTGCCACTGATAAATAAATACTCCTGTTTTTTTGTTTAATTGCAGGTACCCTTCTGTCCTTTTCTCCAGGAAAATTCTACTTATAATTTATGCTTACCAAACAGTTAAAAACATGTGTATTTCCATGGCCTCCCTGAAGGCTCAGCATCCTGCCAGGGGAATGGCATGGATGAGAAAGGGGAGCCTCTGCCTAAGCTATTACCTCAGAGAAAGCTGGTGGTGCCTGAATGCATTTAGTGAGATGACAATCATTACATTTAGTGAGATGACAATCATTGCTGCTGCTGAATTATCAGCTGAATAAAGCACAGTTTTAAGTTCTTATTTGCTATTAAACCAAACTCAGCTCTTCCCTGAAGTCACAAAAAATCAAGGGAAAGAAAGCACCCGAGCAGAATGGCAGACTGGTGTTGAGTTAAGGAGAAAGCACAGGACAAAAGTCTCTTTTAATGCAAAAAATAGTAATGTAACTACTTTAAAATACATCTCTGGTGGCTAAAAAGAGCATGCAGCCTTATTTGTCATCATTGCCAGCACCACAAAGATAGTTTTCTTCCTTCTGATTGCTTTGCAATTACAGGTAAAAATGGGGATGTAATTTGAATTTATATACTCTCATCCAAAGGCTTTGAAACATACAGTGATTGATATCTCAAGAGGTGAATTATTGCAGTAGAGACATATAGGCAGCTCTTCTGTACAGCCAGTCAGAGGGTGAGTTTCTGGCACTGAGCAGTGGAATTTCAGTGCAGTTCAGGCTGAAGCCCGGCTGGAACTGGACAGATTGTGAGATCTTCTATATCAGTGGCTGAAGTGAAAATAAGCGATACCCGCTGAGAGGCTTTTAACCATGAAAAATATGAGCAATAACTTAATAAAGAGCATTTGAAACCGCCCACACACACATCCACATGGTGCAACTGTCCCTCTTTTCCCACCGAAGTCCCAACCTGTGTTCTTTGTCCCTTAGGTTCATAGGCACAGACTGGGAATGTGTCAGCTCAGAGGCCAGCTCTGCAGACCTGGAGTATCTGCCTGAATGTGGGTAGCTTGCTTCAGTGTAAAACTAACCACGGTTTAAAAGTCCCAGCAACAGTGCCACCATCAGAGAAACCAGGAGCAGAACTTCCACTGCAAGTTAATGGCAGTTCATCTCTATTTGGGTCACCAGCACCTCTCTAACCCAGACACCAAAGAACTCTTTGGCCATGAGGCAATTTTACATCTGCTGGGGTAATAAAACCCTTCTAGCCTAAAGCATACAGCCCTGGAGCTTTTAGCTATTATGTGCCACTCCCTGGCCTCTGCCACAGTGTACTGCAGGCTGGCAGAGCAAGTGCCTTGGGGACACATCAGCTGTGGGGGAGGCTGGGAAGCTGGACACACACTGCTGGAAGGACTGGCAGGTGTGTACCAGGTGTGAGGGACTGTCGGGAAAAAAACATTCAAGCCAGCATGGGCTGCTGCTGGTGTGGCACAATCTGAATTGACTTGGTCATGCTGAGTGAAAAACTATGTTTTAGAAACCACAGCTAACAGCTGAGCTTTCAGAAAATCATAGCTGTTATTCAAATAAATTATATCTCCTGTGAAGAAGATGAATATTGCAGCTCAAGAAAAATTACTAGGGAGTTTGCTTTGACAACAAATTGAGGCAACCTAAAAAAGAAAATCTGCTTATGTCAAGCCTTAGGAAGTGGGCAGTGAATTGGCTAAGTGATAGTTACATGGTTCAGAAGTCTGGCTGTGCAAACCACTTCCTATGTATGCAATTTATACATACAGAAGACAGTGCTATTTTCTTCCAAGTACAGAACAGTCCACTGAAATTTCTGAGCTGCTATTTTAAAAAACAGCACAGACATAAACCTGCAAACTGTTGAGCAATGTAGACCTTCCTTTAAAAATGGCTCTTATCTTAAAAAAAAAAAACAACCAAAAAAAAAACAGCAGCAAAACCAGCCACTTGTTTCATGATGAGAACAGAGACAAAGAATGGTGACAAGTCTCATCCAGGCTGGTTGACACTCACCCCTTCTACAAAGCATAGAAAAACCAGCCACTTCTTTCATGATGAGAACAAAGAATGGTGACAAGTCTCATCTAGGCTGGGTGACACTCACCCCTTCTACAAAGCATAGAAAAAACCCTGACCTGGTGGGAATAAGGGCAGTGAATTTTTTAACAGCAGACTTCAAGGGGAAAGCACAACATATTAACCTTATAGAGGCAAATCTCCTGTTGTTTAAGGAGGTCTCCTCAGCATAGCTTTTGCCCAAGCAGTTTGTGAAGAAGAAGAACCCTGCATGCAGCCAGCTGGCTAATGCCAGCACAGGCATTTCTAAATTTTATACATAGGTGTATGTATATCTATGTACAGACACATACACACACAGTTAAGATAGAGAGATATCGATATAGAAGTGAGGGTGTGTGGATCTGTAAGTAGATGTTAGTAACAGTGAGTCTCCCTGACACCTTTACCAGGAACTTTTTAGACGGCAAGAATATAACCTAGAAACAATATTATCAGAAACTTTTATTTGTTGTGGTTTGTAGCTTCACACAAATACTGAAATGAAGATGCAAGTAGTTCAAATTTTCAGTTTGCAGAGAGAATACAGAAACACATGCAAGATTTTTTTTAGATTAACAGCCAGAAAATGAATGAATGGATCTGCTGTGGAAAGAAAATTGAGCAGTTAAAAATTTTTAATTACTTAGTTCTTTTAAAATTATATTCTATTCTATGTTTGCAGATGTAAATTTTCTGTTTCCTATTTCTGTGTTTAGTATGAACACATGACAAAGGCAAGTTTTTCTGTTAAAATGGGTAACTCAGAGCCACACTAAATATTTTTTGAAGCAGAACGACATCTTCCCATTACCTTAAAAGAAACACAGTCAATAAATTCTAAACTACAGAATCCTACAGATATATGGTGAGGAAACCAATATCATTCCTAATGATTTTATTTACTAGGCTATTGTAAAATCCTTTGTTAATAGTTAGATATCTATAGAAACCCATACTTTGAGATAGCAGAAACCCATAATTATTGATAGTTAAAGCAAACCAACAGTAAAAGTATCTTCTGCCTAACCATGCTAGAAAAATCGGAATATGCCAACTGAATGAAATACACTGAGAACAGGACAAAACTATTGTGTTCCTAACGTGGCATTATAATTGATCACCGCTTATCTCTCTCCTTCATTTTATCAATGTAGTTCAGCACCTCTAGAGTGCTCCTGCCGGCCAAGCTCAGGTACTCGGCCTCAGGAGAGAAGGGGTCTGGCCCCTTCTGCCCTTGGGGCTCTCCCGCGGCGCCGGCAGCGCTGGGAGCAGGGACCGCGCCTGGGCTGCGGGCGGCGGGGAGGGATCCCCCGCAGCTGCACACCCTCAGCGTGCCGCACTGGCTGCCCACGTCCGCCTTCTCTACGGGCACACAGCCCTCGGTCTGCGACCAAACATCGCGCCTGCTGCTGCTGCTGACGGGCTCCCTCTTACAGGCCTGGTGTGATGGGCCCTGAGACAGAGCTGTGTGCGTTTTATTTTCCTCCTCTGTGGCACAAAAATTAGAGTCTCTCTCCTGAAGATGGTTTGCTTCTTTTCTAGGCAAAGTACTGCTGGGCTTCATACCCACACTTTGGGTGTGAGAGCTCTTGGGGGCCTCTCTGCTTGCTGAGGCTGAGAATAGGTTGGCACCGTGTGCCTTCAAGGAATGTTCATTCAGATATTCCTTCTTTTTGGCTGTGTCTTCCTCTTCAGACTGTTTGAACAGAATTGTGCAATTGTAACTGTTCAAATGGCTCAGTAACTAAGGACTAAAGTAATGACTTGCTAATAACTAAGTGAAATAAACAGAAAGCCCAGAACTGTCTCCTTTGGTTGTCTCCTTCTCCAAGGATGGCTCTTGGTGAAGAGAAGGTAGCCAATGCAGACCTCCACTCTCACATGCAATTTAATCATACACCATGGCATTTTTGTTTTCAAGAATGACTGAAAACACAGTGTGTCAAATCATTCTGCTTCACAGGCATGTAATGTAAGGCAGCTATACACACAGGAAGAGCATAAAGCATTGCTTAGCCTCTTTCCACAGTCATGCTGTGTAAGTCCACAAGGCCAGTCGTTATCAAGAGAACAGACCACATGTCAAACTACCTAGGAAAATTTACAGCTCATTTCTTGTCCTCATCACACATGAAGTTATCTCATACAAAACAAAATGAGATTCTAGCTACATCCACCCTTAGGTGCACTCAGGCATAGAGATATGATTCAAATAAAGCCCTGCCAGCCCACACAGATTTACTCACTGTGTCAGGACTAGAGCTCAAATAGCTCTCAGTCTGCCTTGGAGAGTAACTGTGAGACTGGCTGCTGAGTGGTGACTCCACATCTTGAAAAATTAGACGAAAAAGAAAGAAAAGGTTACTCAAGGAACAGTCCCCAAGGATCCAACTCTCAAGTCACCATTTAGAATTAAACATTACTATTTCTGATGCAGTTTTAAGACACTGTTTAAAGAACAAAATGTTAGCAAGGTCAATCTAGTTCTTAGCGATAGCCAGTTCTTCTCTGGTCAACACATCTTAGTAGAGGTTGTGAGATGGGGCCCCCAAAGCCTCAGCTGTGCTGTTCATCAGCAGCAGAACTGCAGAACCCAAAAGGAGGAGGGAATCTGGAGAGCACAGCCTGCAAGAGAGCACGGCAGACTCCACGTGCACACTGGCTGCCATACAAGTTACATATTTCTTTCTTGGAGGCCCCTGAGAGATCTTCTCTGAAATGCAGCCAGCACAGCTGACCCTACAGCTACTGAGGGAGTAGGAAGGATGGAGGATTGCTTTGCTTACTCCCCTCCCTCTGTCCACATGTGGAGTGACAGCATATAGTCTAGTGGAAGAGAATAACTCTTCAAGGAAAAGCAAGCACAGCTAATTCTTAGTTACCTGGTAATGCTAATTGTCTTTTTACAGTGCTGTGTGAAACAGAAATATAAGCCCTTATCAAAGTTAACATCCTAAAAGATCAGTTTCCCTGGCTTTAAAAGTAACTGTTACAGTTTCACATGTAGAGAAAACATTTTTAAGTGATAATGTATAAATAGTACTAACCCATCTCATGAAGATATGAACTCAGTCCAAACTTATACCCTTTCTCTTGTGCTGTTGTGAACTGTTAAAAATAATAAGGTATTAATAGTGAGGGTTGAGCTGGATCAGCATCTCAGGTTAAGAGAGGAACATTCAGTTTCTGTATTACATAAAGGAGTCACTCTACTGTACCTCAAATTATTTTAAGAGGTATTTTTACCCCTGAGTAGTACCATATGTGGCTTCTACAGGCAAGACATCTGAAACAGTTTTTATATGTATACTGGCACAAAGCTCCTTTATAATACTGAAGCATCCTCCATATAATGTCTGGGCATTGCCTGCAGAACCTAATCCTAAGTGTTGATGGGTAATTTACCCAATGTCCTTCAGGCATGAGCTAAAGTGTGAATGAAACCATGTGAACTGTGGACCTGTCTATCTGAACCACGTCACTAGCAGCATCTGAATTCCTTATGTAAACCATGATGGAAAAGAAGCTTCCATGATAGTTAATTCATTGGAGCTGTATTCAGTTTCTAACTGTTGTGGACAATCCTTCTCCCCCTCAAATGAATCATGCAAACAGTGGGTTTGACAAAAAATACATATTTTTAAAAGTTACCTCTTCAAATACAAAGACATGGTTCTGATTCCAGGCTGTTTCTTTCACAGGCTTGTTGTCACTGAGGAATGCAAACACAAGTTCACTGGTAAGTGATTTTTCCCCAGTATTTTTATTTTCTTTCTGATTTAAATTCCTGATTGGTGACTTTTCAATTTTTACTTTGTCTTCAGTAACCATTAAATGATTCCCACTACTGAGATCACTAGACTTATCTCTGAACCTGAGATTTAACACCAAGAAAATGTTTTCTCACAAACTTCATTTCTGTTGAAAAAGAATTGAAGCGATAACAGAAGATCGTGCTGTTTCTGTAGCCAGTGCAATGAGAGAGAATATTTTAGAGGACAAGCCAGATCAACAGCTTAACTTCAGGATTTCCAAAGTGCCCCATGAAGCAGTATTTCAGTGTGCATATTATGGGCAGGGGCATAGTGGGCTTTCCTGTGCATAGATGTATTCACACTGTACAGTACTATTTTCACTAAGAAAACCTGAGTCCTTGGTAATACTCTTGTGCACTTAGCAGGATTTCTCCAATTCAGCAAAGCCTCTGCAGTTATCACTGCTTGATAGACTGGTAATTTCCATGACACTCACCTTTTTTTTCTGGAATAATTCTGCACATTCTCCTTTAAGCTATTCTGCTGATCATGGTGATAAGCAAATGTCTCTAAAATTAGGAAAAAAAATAAAAGTAAACCTTGATTTTGAAATGCAATAGAATAAACACAATTTATATAAAAGTTTCTGTTGAGTTTTTTAAATAATTTAAATAGTTGGATTTAAAATTATGTGACTGCATTCTGAAGATTCATGATGTTTTCAGTTGGAGCAGATACATCTCTGGTTACAAGAACAGATGTCTTTAAAAGGAGAATAAAACCCAGAATACATGTCCTTAAAATAAGACACGCACCGATTTTTTCAAGGTTTGCTCTTCTTTCTTTCTGTTCACAGGGCATGAAGTAGTGCTGTCCCTCATGACGGTTCTGCCGGAGTGTTTTATGAAGTGCACTTGTTTCCTTGTAGCTTGTATTTGACACATTGCTACTTTTAAGGAAAATATGTTCTGGAGCTGTGAAAATGCCTTCAAGGTGTCTGTCTACTGAATCTTCTTTTGCATTGATTGCAGGATAAAGCCTTCTGGTGTCACAAGAATAAATTCTGTTAATTTGATTTTGAACATCAGGAACAGTGAAAAAAATGTCATTATTGCCTTGGTTAGAAAAAGGATTAAAATGCGTTGTGGAAGGATTATTTTGGATTGGTCCACTCTCATCTTCAAATAGTGTCAGAAAGGAACAACCACTTCCATCTTTCAGTTCTGCAGCTTCTTTCACAACATCAAATATTGGTTCTTTTATTCCTTCACAGTTTTCTGAGTAGTTATTGGCTATTATCATTGAATTTTTCCTGGCAGAATTCATGTAGTCTGGCCTGGGGGTAGGCAATGAGGTATAACAGGAGTAGAAGAGAAAATCCATTTTGCTGAGTACACAAACAAGCCAAATAATGTTAACACAACACTTTCTGATAATTTGATGATAAAAATATCAAAAACTTCACAGTTCATTACACTTGATTTTGTCATAAATATACAGTATTTCAACTGAAAAAGTATGTATTTTATTATGTTTTATATCTACTTTATGGTAAGATTGATTTAAAAGGGGTTCTATTTCTTAATATCTCCAAATATACAAAACCATGGAGCACATTTCTCCTGGACAGAGAATTGTGATTTATAAAATCAGCCACAGTATGTCACTGCTGCTCCACCAGCTGACCAAAGGCGGCCACATCGGGGAGAAAAAGAAAAAGAGGAAGATAGTTTCTTCCATTCATAAAAGTAGTTTTCTTAAGACTATGTTTGTCTTCCACACTGAAAACCCATAACAAGTGACTTTCATTTGTACTTGAAATCAGTAATCCTGATTCAGCACAGATTTTTTCTGTTCCACTGTTGGGAGGCCAGTCAGACATTTTGATATGCCACTACTTCCCTACCCCACTTCTGAGATTTTGAAGATTTCATCATGCAAGCATTATGGACATGAAAGCCATCATGCTTTCACTTATGTGCCTCTTAATCTAACATATTCACTGTTTTGTTTCCAGGCTGGATCTGCTGCCTGAACTCTCAGAAAATCTGAGCAAAAAGTTGAAATTCTTCTGAAGGACAGAGATCTGGCAAAAAAGACCATTTAAAAAAATCCCTTTCTTCAAAATGTTCTGAGCAAGGCTATCAGTAGAACTTGAAACTGAAATGTAATACAGAAAACTCTTACTGGAGAAAATGCCTGTGGTGTTTTGATCAGCAAATACTTGGAACTGGATAAAGGTTCTATGGAACTTAAATGAGAAACTAGTTTTCTCTAGTTACAGAAACCTCACCAGGACAGTTTTAGAAGTCTAAACACACTAGAGTTTATTTCAGAGGATACTTGGATAGATCTACACAAGGAAAGTAAAACCATTTTGTGAAGCAATTCAGAGAGTCTTTCTCAACTCCAGCTGAATATTCTGTTATGCAAAATAAAATTTAAGAGTAGATGAGGAAATATGACATGAAAACTTTTAATTAATATTTAATAACTTCAAGCTGCCACAGGTCTCAGAATTATGGACATTGATGACATCATCAGTATGTTACATTAAACAACTGTATAACTTGGCACTACACTTTTCACATGCAGTGAAAGAAACTCCCTTCACAGAAGAATTATGATTTCTTGAGGTATAAGAATTTATGGCTAGAATGAATGAAAACAAAATGAGGACAATACCAAGAAATGGATGTGAAGAGCAGTTGGAAGGGAAATGTTGTTAGTGACCCATAAATAGGTAGAAGGTGAGAGGATGTGACATAAGCAGATGAGTGCAGGCCTGATAGCTGGTGGAGAAATGAGAGATGTAGGTGAGATAAGGTTATATGGGGCTGGTGGAGAAATGAGAGATATGGGTGAGATAAAGTTATATATTTACAGTGTAAATATATTAATTGGGATGTGCAGCAAGGTGAACCCTATGCTCATTTTAGGTTTTGCTAGAGAAAGCCAGGAGAAGCTACAAGAAGAGTAGAAGTTAAGGTGGCTGATGTGTTTAGTTATTATTTGGCCAGTGATTTTATGGGTCACTTGACTCCCCAAGCAAACAGGCTGCAGGCACTTCAGGAACAGCAATATACTGTATGGCCTTTTTATGTCTTTATCCAGCCTAAGCTAGAGATGCACAGGAACTTTCAACAAAATGGCAGACTTATGGAATAGAAGGAGTAAAGTCAGATTAGCTATGTAAGACCTCTAGGTCCAAGGGAGAGCCTCTGAAAGAAAATTAAATAAAATATTCAGTACAAATGAGTCTGGCCCTAAACCCTCTGTGATTTGAAAGCATTTTAATCAGAACATACAAAAAGAAATATATTCTCGATTTCTCTCCATTCTTTTAAAAACAAAGTGTATATTCTCTTAGAAGTATTATCAAATCAATTATAAGGAAAAAAGAAAGCTATAGTAGGATCACATATGAAAGAGAAGAAAAGAAAATTCTTTGTTCTTGGAATCTCTAGTATAAATAATGCAGGTGCAGATGCTCAATTGCTATTGCATCAAGATTGTCAGAAAAGCACTTGCAACACTGCCCAGAACTTATAACACCTGAGGCAGCTTCCCCCTCCTCGTGGCCTCTTAGTAAATCTGTCCTGTCATTCAAGGTGAATTCAGCAACACTATCATGTCTGTGACATTGCAAAAAATAGATCATGGCTCCAAGTGCCTACTCAAAATTCAGATTTTTCTGCTTTTCAGCAAATTTAAATAGCTTTGTAGGTTTAGTATTTCCATTTGTTTTCAATTTCTATTTGAAAAACAGTCAGTGAAAAAAACAAGTAGCAATAAGGTTCTGATTATTTTAGTATTTTTCTTAATTAAACTTGACTGTTATTTTCCTCATTAATGTAAAATCACTTCCTACCTATCAAATGGCTGGAACAGCTCCTGAGGCACTGTATCAGACTTCCTGAAAATAAACTGGCTTGGAGGGTTTGTATTCCAAGGGTTTTGATCAAAGCTGTTACCTGGCTGAGAAAACAGTAGGAGCTGTCAAACTGTGAATATACATAATTGTTACAGTCTTTAAAACTTTCAACTTGGTTGAAATATACCTATTTTCCCACTATTTTTATTTCTTTATATCTTTACAGCAGAAGCCCAAACCTCCTTACAGTCCAACTGTTGCCAAACAAGCTATAGCCAACAGACAACTACTTTGAGCATGACAGCAACACAGTTTTTTCTCATCCTATTGTCCATTCATCTGGTTCATAGCTGCCCATTTTGGCTACCAGAATCCCATGGGAAACTTCATCAAAAGCCTTCCTAAAGTCAAGGTAAATAATGCCTGCTTTTCTCTCTAATTCCCAGAGTTAATTCCATCACAGAAAGCCATTGGGTCCACTAGCCAGAGTATGACCTTGCAAAATCTGATGGCTGTTTGCAGACACCTTCTTGTTCCTCATGTACCTTGGAATTGCCTCTGGGAGCTTAGCTTCTTAACCCTTCCAGGGACAGAGGTGAGATGATGCTTCCCCAGACCATGCTGACATTTTTGCAGATGGACATAACATCTGTGTATTTCTTCTCACTGGGAAGCTTCTTGGATCACCACAGCCTTACAAGGGTGGTAAATATCTGCCTTGCAGTGATGTCATCCAACACCCTGAATAGACCAGGCTGGACTGTGTCCAGTCTCATATATTTCTACATGTTCAGGTTACAATGGATTCTCTAACTTGTTCCTTCCCTACTGGTTCATTCAACTCCCCCCAGCTCCTGACTGCATTTTAAGATGAGCCAGAAAGCAAATGTTGTCTGGAAAAATTGAAGCAAAGTAGTCTTTGAGTACTTCAGGCGTTTCCATGTCATTTTTCACTAGGTCTCAATTCTATTTAGCAGTGGACAGCATTTTCCTTGGTTTCCTTTCTTTGATGACACACCTAAGGAAGTCCTCCTTGCTGTTCTTCTCACTCATTGTGATTTTCAGCTCTGACCATCCTAATGCCACCCCTCCCAGCTGAGGGGATGCTCCTGTCTTCTTCCTGGGTTGCCCATCCCTCCTTGCACTTTTCCTCTTTGCATTTGACCTCAGTCAGGGGTTCCCTGATTCAGCCAAACTGGCCTCCAGAATCTAATCATTCTCTTGCACATAGAGGTGGGCTGTCCTTGTGTTTTGAAAACATATTTATTGGGGTTCTTTGTTCTTCAGGTCAGCTTCCTGTGAGTTTTGGCCTACTCATTCTCTGAACAACCCATCATCTCCCCTTCTGAAACTCCTCAAGCATTTCTTCCTCACTAACCTCAAGACTTCAGAATACCATTGGTAAGACACATAATTTTTTTTATTACAATGAATAATATATTTGCTAAAAATAAAGCATATTTGCTATCACTTTTCCAAGGGTGATTCTTTTAAGAATCACAAAGTTAACAAAAAGAAAAAATAGTAATATGCATCAGAACAAATAACTTTCAAGTGTTTCTTAAAAGTAAAGAGTTAAACAGCAGAGCACTGAAAATACTGTAAGAACTGTGTTAATCACTGAGACATTAAAAGATAAAAAATTAGGTCATGGGATCACCTGGGATCATGCAACACCCAGTTACACTAACTGTATGTTTCAGAAAGCTGTGTTTCTAACTATATTTCAGGTTTCTTTAACTAAATTTACAAGCCAGAAGCAAAAGAAAGCCACCAGTATGTGACTAATTCTCTCTCTGCAGATATCAGCAACACTGAGGGTTCAGCAAACAAAAGCTCAAGTTGAGCTTATTTCAGAACAATAAAATAAATATATTTGTATATACAGAATATTCATTGCCACCAGCCTACAAAAAATGTTGATGAATCATAATTACCACCACCATTACACTAGTTTTACACACCAAATAAAAGCAAGTTAGTTTAAAGTAATTCCACAGAAGTAAAACATTAACCAAACCTGGTTTTGCAGCTTCTTTTCATAGATCTGTTCCCAAATGTTGCCCATTAGTTTTGTGTTGAAATTTTCTTCTGAAAGCTGTGTACAGTTCGAGAACTGAAAACCAGAGGAGGACAACGGACAAGCACTAAAAGCTCTTGCCATGTCGTCTTCATTTTCCGTACTGGAATCAACATCGCCTAATTCCATTACTTGTGGAATGAGCTAGACAAAACATAACAAAGACATATTTTATTTAGCTAAAACTGTTTTGATTTAAGCATAAAGTTCAAAGTAATCAATCCATTTTTTATCTTTTACATCTCTGCACATAAACCACAAAGAAGAGAAAATTTTCTATATTCTGATATGACTTTTCACTAAAAACTTAAGGCAATAAGGGCTTATTTCAGGGAAACATGTGAGTAACTACTTAACCTGAAGCATGCACACAAATGCTATCTTGAGGCGAGATGGATATAAATACATTTTTAGCTTTTTTTCAAGAAACATATAAACAGTAGCATGAAAATAATTTATCAATATAGTCTTAAAGAGAAAGAAGACTTCATGTGTTTCGGTATCCATGAGTTTCTCCACTCTGTAAAAAAATTACTTAAAAATACAGTAATTACTGCACATTTTAAGTCTTATATCATAAGAACAACAATACCTTATGCTGGCATTTCACTTTTTCTGAGAGATGTTGTCTTCTGCTGTCCAAAACTTGCTTTTGTAACCTTGTAAAATGAATAAAAACAGCCTATGAAATGCAAGATCCAAAAGATTAAAATATCCCGAATATTAATTTCAAAATGACTTAGGAATATTTTTTCACACATCTTAAAACAGCCTGATTCTTAGGCAGCTATGAGCAGTCTGTCTGTGAGTTGGTCACTTTAGGGTCTCCAAAGCTGGATGGGAAAACAGTGTAAGTGCATAATGCTGTTTGAATAACCTGCTCCTTGAGATAAACTTAGTATAAGTACCTGGCATGAGTACAGACACATAACCACTTTCAAAAAATCTCTCAGCTTCATGTGCAGTTTTTTTTTCAGAAATTATTAATTACTCTCTTAATCACAGTAAGAGTATCACTAGAACAACAGGAGTGGTTGTGAAACTCCACTGTTTACAATGGTATGTTTATATTTTCTTAATACCCCAAATGTTAAGACTATAATGAAATACCTGTCCCAGAACCTCCCTGTTGGGTAACTATTGCCTGTTTTATACAAATACCTGCTTTGGAGATCATCTAAGTTTGACTTATGTTGTGTACGTAGGGGTGATGTGGGAAGCTCTAAGTTATGTCTCCTGATAGGTTTTTTTTCATCTTCAGTGATATCAACATGGACTGGCTTCCTCGCGTTCTCTGCAATGAATATATTTTGTTATGTCAGTGCAGGGCTTGGAGAAAGCTTTGATTTGAGCATTGAGATTTTTCACTGGAGTACAAAAGTTGTTGTTTTATATTTCTTAATCCATTTAAAGCCATATTTGTTTCTTTCTTTGCTACTAACAATACAAAAACTGCATTCTAAATGGCACAGTAGTATAAAATTATGCAGGTGCTCACCACAGGGAGCACAAGGTTCCCTGGCCACTCGCTTCCCACTGCCCCCTGGATGGGACTCCTTCCCCTGTGCATGATGTGAGGAGGTGTAGAATCACCCCAGGGTCCTGCCAGGCCTGTCATGGCTACTGCAAACATTCACCCTGGCCTGGCCTGGAACCAGGGCACTGCACAAGGCTTTAAAGGTGAAGTAGGCAGGAGCCAAGGCTGTTTGATTCCTCTTGTGCCCGGACTTTTTATTCAGTCATAATTTTTCTATTAACGTACAATTTTTACTTTAAAAATAAAACAACATTTACTTGAGGCTTAAGTTGTAAATGGAAGAACTAAAATAACAGCAGTAATAGTTAAGAATAATTAATTCTGATGTGTCAGAATACCCAAAACTCACCAGTGTTCTCTTTCTTGGTTGATATCTGGTTAACCACATAGAGATTAAGAAGATCCAAACTGACTGCTGAACTTTTAGGAGATGATACTTCCAGGAGCTTCATTTTTGACTTAAGTTTCTTTCTTTCAAAGTATTCCTTAATTTTTTTAAGGAGAGAATAACTTTTTGACAGAAGCTTCAACAATGCATTACCAGTATAGGTAATTCTTTTGAAATTAGCAAGCAGGACTTAGCAAACTATTCCTAATATAAAAGCACATGGTTAAGTATCTCTGAATTCTCATGCCCCATTTGCTCTGAATTTATTTTTATTGCCTTGAAAAAGAATGCAAATATAATTTGGTCACATTCAAAATAAATCATTGTTATCTTGATGCCAAAAATTTAGTCCTTAAATGCTCATTTCTCAAATTTTGTGTACAACCACTAAAAATATTTCTTAAAATAAAATATGCCAAATGTGGCAAGGACAAAGTCTTAAAAAATTTAAACGGTCTTTTCAGGAAGTATATAAGATAAACAAAAAAATCAGCAAGATTATGTACACCAGATGTGCCATCTATAATGACACAAAAAGTTTATTTTTCTCCTAATTTGTCTCTCTTGACAAATAGTCCTCTGACAAAAAAAAAAAAAAATCAGAAAGAATTTTTGTTACAAGGAATAAAAAGTGATATGACTGACACTTTGAAGATATCAGGACAACAATATAGGAAACAAACCCCTCCATTTTGCAGAGACTATTAATAACCATCCAAAAATCATTAAGTACAGCAGATGAATAAATAATCCCAGTAAGATATTTTTTCTAAACAAAAGAATGATATTGAAAACTGAAGACTATGCCAAAACAAAAAATAGCATTGACTTTTCTTCTGAAATGTAATCCCTGTCATGATTGCAGGTTACATGTAACTAATACACCTAACATGTTTGTTGGTAACTGATTTTTAATATCATTTATTATTATCTTTAGCTTCCCAGGATGATATTATCTATGGAAAATATCTGTTCTTCAGTTAAGATTAATATCTTCAGTAAGATAAATCATCCTGTGTACAAATCAACACTTCAAAATTCGTTTTACTTTAGGGTCCACACCCGCAAAAATTTAACCACTTCCCTTCAGTGTCCCAGATGTTTCTTCCCCATTACGTCTAAATTACTAAACTACTAATAATTGTATAATAGCAATTAGAAAATTAAAACTGTGTTAGTAATTTAGTACTACATTACTAAAAACAATCCTGTCTTTTCCTGTTTTCCCTCTCCACTGAAACAAATTACATATCTGTAATATAAATTATGTGGCTTAGACCAGTAATCCCTGAGAAAACAGAGAGCTCACAGGCCTCCAGGAAACCAGGAAAGCGATGGGGACAGGCTGCTGATTGATCCCACATTCCTATATGTAAATGTTTTAATTTGAGTCATTGTGTCTGTACAGTCAGCCTGTTTTTCTTCTACCCCTATATGCCTGTGCACCTGCTCTGGGTATTTGGGGTATCAGCTTCAGTGGTGGAGCTTCCCTATACTGCCTCTTTTTCCCTGCTGCTGAGGAGGAAACTGACTCCACTTATTATGGTTACAGCCAATTTCTCTTGTTGTTTTATTTCTCTTTCCTGTTTGAAATATCTCCTGCTCTGCCAGGGATAAGTTTGATTCCCTTACTTCACTTTCAGACTCAAAATACAAATAAGCTGTCCTCCTTTGGCAAATGCCAGAAGAAGAACTTCAATGAGCCTGACATCCTTTCACATGGCCCAGAAGAATGGCTGTGTATGTGTGTTGGGCCAGCTGACCTCATGGTTATCACCTGAGGCTTCAAGCAATCCCGTGTCCCCACACACCAACACAACACGGTAACAGAAGTAATCCAGGAAAACCAAAACTGGCCACAGGCATGCATTCATTCATTCATTCATTCATTCATTCATTCATTCATTCATTCATTCATTCACACCTTCTCTTCTTGTTGTAATTCAGTTTAGTAAATCTAGAACAAGACTTTTTCCCTAAAAGTCAGGGAAACCCATTGTAACTGTTTAGCTACTGTTTTGAATCTCACTCCAAATGCTTTGCAAGTTTTACCAAAGTGAACTCACTAAAGCTTTCATATTACAATGTAAAATCCAATATGGCGGAAACTGTTTACCTTTTGTTTTCTCCTTTCTTGTTTTAGTATGATTCTGCTTCTGAAAAATGCAAATAATTATTATTTTAATTACAAAAGTATAATCTTGAGTCATGGCTTGAATTTCTCATCAGTGGTTCTGAGTTTTAGGACACAAATATGTTAATATGTTATGGTATGTTTGTTATGTTATGTTATGTTATGTTATGTTATGTTATGTTATGTTATGTTATGTTATGTTACAAGTTATGTTATGTTATAATGGATCAAACCTTCAGGTAGTAAAGTTAACATATCTCTGTTGAAGTAATTTTGACTGATCCCAGTTTACTCCAGTAAGGATAGGACCCCATTCGATATTAGGAGTCCAAACACATTTGACATGATAAAAGAAAACAGAAAAAAGCTTTTAATCATTTGACTTGTAATGCACATTTAATCAACTTGTAATTTCTTCAAACTTAAGAAATCTTTGTCAATATATTATTTCCTCCTAATTTTCTTCGTCATGCTTCAACATAGCTACAAAACTATATTAGCAAACAAAAGGAGCACTATATGAGCTTTTACCTTTTGGGACTTTCCAGAATACTGGGGACCTTTTGTGAAATAGGAAAGCAAAATAGATTGACACTACAAGTTGCTGTTGTTTGCTCAATATAGGAGACAGTTATACCTCCACCTACTTGCCTCATCTGCCAAACATAGTCTTATGTGAAATGCCTGTAGGACTTGGTGCATAAAATTGGAAGTCAGGGTCATTGTTCCATGAGCAGAGTGAGCATGGCTGCAGTCCTTAGGTCACTAAGATTAGGACTTTTTGTGAGGGTTAGAAATATAGAGTATTCCCTTGGAATGGCCTTTGGCTTAAAATTAGAGCAAACTTTCCAAACATATGCATATAACATTGCAGTGGGGAGGAACCCCAGTGATGTGTAGTTTTTCTGACACCTCAAATGTAAACCATAGATTCACCCGAGGAACCCTGATAGAAACTACCAGCAGCAGCAAGCAGCAGGTTGATTTGTATTTGCTAAATGTGGCAGTACTCCTACACACTGGGTTTTCTTACAGAGGGTACGGGAGACAGGCATTTAGGACAAAGCTTGGGTTGGGGTTTTTTCTAAGAGAAACTCTCCTTTCCTGAATGTTTCACAGAGGCAACATTCAGAAAACTCAATTCGCTGGGAAGACTTTCAGATAAGTAGGGTGTTTTTTTACTTTGATTCTGCATAGTCTGGATGATGACGAAGCTGTGTTCAGCAATGCTGCTTCCCAATGGCTGACAAAATCTGTGAGGTTTACATTTCTAGTAGATTGGCAGAGGGCACATCACGCAAAGAAACAGAACATTATCTTTTTTCTGTCTTTATCATTACAACTCAGTTTGTGATGCTATACTATTTCAGTGAATTTCAATACCTGTACGTCCTTTTCCCCAAATGGTAACCACTGCTTTTTGTGAGCCAAAGAAACAGAACATTATCTTTTTTGTCTTTATCATTACAACTCAGTTGTCCTTTTCCCCAAATGGTAACCACTGCTTTTTGTGAGGGCATGAGAAAGGCTCATCCAGCCCCTATCTGTGGAGGACACAGAGCCCAGACGTGACCCCCTGCCTGCGGTGGGAGGGCACCTGCACCTTGTCACAGCCTGGCTCCAGAGGGGACTCCGGGGCTGTCACACACCATGGCCTGCTGCTCTGTGAGGGGACACCAGGCCTGAAACACATACACTGTGGCACTACCATGGAGAGGTATTCGTTTGGTCACAAACACCATGGTCTGCCCAGTTTGTGAGGGGAAATGAGGCCTGAAGCACACACCATGGCTGTGCTCAGTTTGTGAGGGGAAATGAAGCCTGAAGCCCACCATGGCTCAGGTTGTGAAGTGACCCCATGGCTGCCACACACAACATGGCAGTGCCTGCTTTGTGAGGGGGCATCAGGGTTGTTAAACACACCATGGCGGTGCCCAGTCTGGAGGGACACTGACACAGCATGGAGCAGTTTCTGTCAGCTGTGAGGAGTTTCACTTACCGACTGCCACCCACCCAGTTCATTTTGTGCTGCTGAGGAGGCAGGGAGGCAGTGCTGCGCTGGGCGCTGCTGGCACTGAGGGCAGAGGCAATGGCTACCCCGGGGTGGTTTGCAGCCTCCCAGCAGGGCCACAGGGCCCTTCTGTGGGGCCTCCTCCTCCCTGCCAGCACCAGCGCAGCTGCTCTCCATGCCCCAGGCTGGCAGAGGAGAAGGAAGGGGTGGTACAGGGACTGACAGACAAAGGGGAAGGATGCAGAAAGCCAAGAGAGGCAATAATGGGAAGAGGCGATGCTCTGGTTGCTGCTGCCCTTCTTCTGCCCCTGCTGTTTCCATACAGGCTGCTGCCAAAGCCATCGCCATTTCCCAAAGGAGTCATGATCATCTTGTCCCAAGTGAATTGGTTTGTCTTTAGCTGTCTGTGCTACAACCACTGTGATTTTTAGGACAAGAGAGCACTTTCCATCCCGCTCTTCCTCAGATATATTTAGGGGAAGCGATGAGCATTTCCTACAGGGAGATGTTGTTGCCCGTGGTCCTGCCTGATGAGCTGTTGTGTGTGAATGTGACAAACCCTCGAGGGGGGATGCAGAGCCACTCGGGATTCTTGGCAGCAGCACAGCTCCACTTGCTCCCTTCCCTATTAACTCACTTCCATCGTCTCAGCAAGCAGGCACCCATTTACAAAACAATCATCAAAATCCTACATGAATCTTTTCCTGTGGTGTTTCTTTCCTGAGTTATCTTTAGCCTAACATTTTTCAGGGTACTAAAGTTTGATTAGCATTAGTACAACAATGTGAAGAGTGTTCAGAGTAGATATTAGGAGTTTGAAATTAAAAATTAGCCAAGATGTTTTTCTTTCTAATATTTCTAATTTGGCTAGGCTGTTTATAGAATCTGATAAGTATGCATAATTGTTTCATGTAACAACACTACATTAAAATCTTCATTATAAATTACATTTATATTTTAAGTCTGTGTTTCTACAGCTAATATGACAGATGACAGACTGAAAATTTATTTAATTTCTTCACTTCAAATAATTTTTATTTTCAATTCTATCTAGTGTAAATGTTGAACTTGCTAATATTAAGATGTTGTTTCATATATAACATAATCAAATCCCTTTTACAATTTATTTTTAATATATATTTTCTATATCAACCTTACTCTTACTTTTTCACAGTATTGTCTAGATTTAAAGGAAAAAAGTGGGATTTTCTTTATTTTAGACTTATTTTATCTGTAGTTATCCAGAAGAAGCTACATGGCAGCTTCAATTAATTATTTTCAACATAAAAATCTTCTCCTCCTCAAATTATTTCTTGCAAATAAAGCTAATGACCTTTCAAACACTCATAAAATAAAATATCAGTTCTTTTTTGAGGAGGGCAAAGTAAATAATTAAATAA